ACTCTGCCGTTACCAGACCCTTGTTGCATCTCAGACATTAATCATGTGAAGCTACAGTTGTGATGCAGACTGTCTCCACTCTCCCAATAATGAAGAATTGGAATGATCGTGGCATGATGAGGTGTTGGCGTAGGATATTGGTGACCTCCAAAGGCAAACAAACCTTCTTAACATGTGGTAGTTCCTAGATTTGTTAATAGTATCAAATGCTTTTCTAAGGCTAATGAATAATATACAGTAATATAAAATTAATGATATTCCTTAGACTAGCATTTTCAAATTGTTCAGTGGAGTCCTGGTGTTTTATATGATATGAATAGGGATTTTGGAGATAAAATTTTGATGTGATATTTTCTCTCTAAAATATTATATGTAAACATACACACACATATGTGTATACATGCAAACATGCATGCATACTTATTAGGTATGGCCTTTTGATGAGGTGCATGAAAGTAGTATTAATTTTCCTCGTCTTGTTCCATTGGGGTAGGATGGTATTCCATACCTCAGATCTTTTGGACTGTAATTTAATTCCCTAAGCCTCAAAGTATTCTATACCCCAAATTAATAGCTAGCATTTGTATGGTGTTTTAAGGTTTACAGAGTGCTTTATACATATTATTTCATTTAACTAGTTTAGGAACTGTTACTCTGCTTTTCTGTTATTTGTCACATGGTGAAGATTACCTGTTCCAACTTATTTTACAGAGGCCTAGAGAGGTAAAATGACTTGCCCAGTTATTTGTTCTAGAAATAAATAGTTAATGATTATTAATAGTGTCCCTCACTGTCTCCAGTAGCATAACCAGAGTCATGCTATTCGTAGAGAGCAGAGTTATGATATTGCCACAAGTAGTTTTTGTACTTTTACAGATATTTGATTTCTCACTATATTTTATGACATAATATATTCCTAACTTTTTCTTCTCTTCTTAAATCTCCCATACCTTGCCCTCTACCCTTCTCAACCATGGGATCTACATTTTACTTTATTGAGAAACTTGATCTCTTGCCATGAGTTCCCTCATCTCTCCTCATCTAACGCTTCCTCTCTCCTCCTTTCTCACAGTTTCTGAAGTGGCTCTTCTTGCCAAGGCCCACTCCTCAATCTGTCCTCTTGGTTCTACCCTCTCCCGTCTTTTCCAGCACATTGCTCTTATCATCCACTTTCTCTCAGATTTTCAGCCTTTCCTCTTGGTTCCTCATCTACTGCTTTTCAACATGCCTAAACTAGACCTTACCATCCCTTCAGGCTATTGTCCTGTATCCTTCCTTTCTCAGACAAACTCATTAGAAAAATCTTTTTTTACACTAATCAACCTCAACTTCCTCTCACTCCGAAGTCTGGCTTTTCATTCTGGCCTCTGCCCTCTTTCCTCAACTGAAATTACTCTCTCTCTCCAGTTACCAGTCTCTTAATTGCCAAATCTGATGGTCTTAGTCTTCATCCTTTACTCCTGAACTGCTGTATTTGATACTGTTGACCACTGTCTCCTTTAGGATGCTCTCTCCTGGGGCAGGTAGGTGGCGCAGTGGATAGAGCACTGGCCCTGGATTCAGGAGTACCTGAGTTCAAATGTGGCCTCAGACACATAACACTTACTAGCTGTGTGACCCTGAGCAAGTCACTTAACCCCATTGCCTAGGAAAAAAAAAAGGATGCTCTCTCCTCTCTAGGTTTTTGTGACACTACTCTCTCCTGGTTCTTCTCATACCCATCTAACTGCTCCTTAGTCTCTTATGGTGATGACTCATCATCCATGTTATAACCCCTAACTGTGAGTGTTTTACTAAGGCCCTGTTCTAGGTTCTAGGACCTCTTCTTTCTTGTTGACATCATGAGCTTTCATGATTTTAATCATGATATATAGGGATACAAACACACAGACATCCCCCCCCACACACACACAGTCTCACCTGAGTTTTAGACCTGTTGAGCATTTCAAACTAGATGTCCAAGAGAAACCTGGGACAAACTCAGCATGGCCAAAACAAAACTTCTCCTCCAAATCCACCCCTCTTCCAAACTTCTCTTTTTCTGTGGGAGAAACTAACATTCTTTCAGTCTTCTGGATTTATAACTTTGATTTTATCCTCGCCTCCTCATTCTTCTGCACCCCAACTATTTTTAGCAGTTACTAAATCTTGCTGCTTTTTACCTCCATAGCCACTTTTGCATCTGATCCTTTTTCTTCACATAGTCACCAATTTAGTTCATATCTTCACCATTTCTCCCCTAGATTATTGTAACAGCTTCCTAACTGGTTTCCTTGTCTCAATCTCTCACCACTCTAATATGTCCTCCACACTCCTGTCATTTTCCTTATACACAGAACAGAACAGAACGGAACAGAACATGACCTTTCCCCTACTCAATCAACTTACTGACTCCCTATTTTCTCTGGAATAAAATATAAACTCTCTGTTTAACTTTTAAAGCCCTTCAGAGTCTAGTTCCAAACTATCTTTCCAGCTTTGTTGGAAAAATTCCCTCTCCTAAACACGTTAAGTAAGATCTAGTCAAATTGACCTCTCTGCCACTCCCCAGCTCCCAGTTCTATGTCTTTGTCTGGCTATCACCAGTGCCTGGAATGTGCTCTTTCCTTACTTTGGCCTCATGGAATCCCTCTCTTCCTTCAAAACTCTGCTCAGACGCCACTTTCTAAAATATAAATAAAGTCTTTCCTGATTGTTCTATTTGCTAATCCTTCTGTCTAAAAACTACTTTGTGTTTGATAACTTTGCGTTTATTTGTTTGTATTTTCCTTGTATTTATTTTGTTTTTAGTTTTTGGCTGGGCAGTGGGGTTAAGTGACTTGCCCAGGGTCACTAATAGTGTTATGTATCTGAGGCTGGATTTGAACTCAGGTCTTCCTGAATCCAGGGCCGGTGCTCTATCTGCTGCACCACCCAGCTGCCCCTTCCTTGTATTTATTTTGAATATATATGTTAACCCTGGGATTAAATTCTTTGTATTTGCATCCTAAGTGTCTTGTGCCCAATAGGACCTGATAAATTTTTGTTCACCGGTTTGATATATATTGGGGTTGTTTACCTTAATTTATGAATTTACACAGAGCAAAAAACTCTGACCAAAACAAAAGAGCATGCTTTTTTTTTTTAATCATGATCACAACATGCTGAAGTATTTACTTATTTTAGCATGAGAACTCAGTTTTAAGTGCTTGGTAAATGTGCATTGGAGATCTATGAATAGTGAGGCTCAACAGCAGATTTCTGCTCTAATGCAAGAGGCTTGTTGAAGCAGCTAGGTGGCGCAGTAGACAGAGCTACAGGCCAGAAGTCAGGAAGGCTTGAATTCAAATCCTGCCTCAGACACCTGCTGTGTGATCTTGGGAAAGTCACTTAACTAACTTTGCCTCAGGTTCCTCATCTGTAAACGAGGATAATAATAGCATCTACCTTGGTGGGTTGGTATGAAGATCAAATAAAATAATGATTGTAAAAATGCTTAGCATAGTGCTTGGCACATAGTAAGTAATATGTAAATGTTAGTTATTATTTTTATTATTGTTATAAATGCTTATTGGTTGTTTGAGGCTTAAAGTAGGAGACTTTCCTCTTGGATACTTGAGACCTCTAGTGGCTGAACTGGCGATTGATTTGTACAGTAATGGAAACTATAATCATTGAAAAGGGATATGGAAACCTCATAATCTGGAAGTAACCCCCTTTGAAAAGGTCTTGGTTCAGAACTATATTTCTTAGAGGGAGTGGGCTAGTACCATATCTAGAAAGTTCTACAATGACAGAAGGAAAACGTGTAGGATGGTGTAGGCAGCTAAGTATATAATACCAAACTTGGTCATTTCAGATTCCAGGGCACACCAGTAAATTAGTAGAAGATTTATTAAAAAAAAAGATTAGAGGAAGGGATGACTTAGTCAAACTAGGCCTTAGCTGCAAAAGCAGAAAGAAAAAAGAGAAAGATAATGAGGGGGATTGAGACCACCTACCCAAATAAAAATTCAGAGGTTTCTCTCAGTAGAAACAGAGGTTTTTATTCTAGCAAGTCTCGTGCGAGAATTGGGCATCACCTACCCAGGGCGAACTGGAGTAGGGAGGCAGGATACAAGCAGCAAGCAAGCAATTATATAGCCTTAGACAAACAAACCCCCCCCCACTTGTTTACCTGAATCTCTTTATCCTCATTGATTGAGGTGAGAGACCTTATATTCTATTTAGAAACTTAAGAGATACTTTTTACCCGAAACAAGCTTGGTAGGTAGAAGATTGCCTTATTTGGCAAAGATAAGGCTGGGGTGGTGATTACAAAACAAGGGAGGGGGTGGGCAACAGATGTATGATTCGATCATATGATTTACAGGAAAACTTACTATAGAAGAAACTTAGGCCCAGCTAATGCTAAAGCCTTAACTAAATTTTGGGGCATAGCTTCCGTTTCATATGAGAAACTTTCACTTGTCCCACGCAGTCCTCCCTCTCATTTAATAGTTGAACGTTTCTCATGCCAAAACTGGTAAGTTTCTTCAGCCTCCCTGTTTGCTATTTCATCAGAGTTTGGCCTTTCTCTTCTTCCTGACTGACTGGCATCCACCCTTGATTCCCCGATATCATTAGTCTTATGGACTCAGTGACAGGCTCTTTTAATGTAGTCGTCCTAGAGAGTGTCCCCTGTACAGTAGTCATGCAAGGGACACACACTGGGAGTAGTATGACTCCACTCACTGCTCTCAGTAAGAACCATAAAACCTGCTTCCACCAAGTTCCCCCAAACCAGGACCACCCCTTTAAGTAAATATGGGAAGAATTAATCTAAGCATTGACAAATCAAAGGGGCAGCCCCTACAGAGGCCGACAAGAAAACAATAATGCAATTGTCCCTTTAAGAATCAGAGTCTTTTCTTATACAGCTGTCTGGCAGGGAACATCATCAATGAAGTCCTCTGGTCCTTGGTACTTGTTCCAGCCATCTCCAGCACAGCATCTCAGCATCTTCTTCTTCTTGTCTTCTTGTAGGAACCAGCTTTCTGTCCATTCTCCTACAGAAGTGATCTTAGCACAATTTTAAATTACTATTTCTGGTCCTTATAACAATGATCATTTTTATAAACTCAGAACTGGAACCATGACCAATTGTCATGTTTAAGAAATTCACATCAGAACCCAATGTCTTATACTTATACTTTATTAATTTCTTCACCAGGGGAATGAGACTTCGCTATGGAATTAATCACAGGCTGTAGTACATACATATCAGTTTTTAACACAGTACATATAAAATCTTAAATTTTAGTCATGCCTTGTTTCTTTGATGGCATTTACTAAATAAACCACAAGCCATTCTTTTTTTTAACATTATTAATCAATGGTAACAAAACTTTAGATGAGTATGATATTATCCAAATAACAAAATAACATTCTCACAAGCTCCTGATTATCTCCATACCATTATCAAGAATTAAAAGGCCCTAACTCATACAGGAACACTAGTCCCAGTTCTATAATAACCCAAGATGTTCCATAATCAATTATTTTGGTAAATTTGTTATTGTACTTATAAAACCTTCTGATTAAAGAAACTAGCCACTAAGAGATTAGAATAAGGGAGCAATATTTCCCTCAACTTCGTGTCAGCTCCAGACAGAGTGTTATGTTGAACTACGAACTGCATTGAGCCAGACTTAAAGTCCTCCAGGTTTCAGTTAAGGACACCTAGAGTTAGACTCAGAAACAGTCATTAGTCCCGGCAAGTTCCAGCAATCAGTTTAAGATATGACTGTAATCTAATCCTTTTCTTATGTCTCATACTGACTACTTGCTCTGATCATGGAAACTTACTATAGAAGGAAAAACGAGCAGGGGGTGACATATCAAATATGACAGGATAAAACATCCTTAGCTTTGTTGAAATTCAGATAGAGTTGCAGTTCTCCAATCATGCAGTATCTGTTTCTCCTCATAGCCAAACTCAGGAATAGTCAAGTGGGAAACGTTCCTTTCCAAAGGAACACAGTGGGGAAACTGAGCCAGGAGGATCCCATCCTAGGTTGAGGCTAAGATTGTCCCCTTGGCCTTTTTCCCCAAATAAATCACATTTCCTCTACCTGTTCTCGTGGCATTTCTCTGAGATACTGATTTAATGCAGACAACTATACCCAGATTTAAACTCAAAACAAAATTAGTTATAGTCCCAAGAGCCTTTTACCTCAAACAGCAAGTCTCACTAATCACAGCTTAAAGCCAGATGCAGTTAATTTCACAATCTCATGGAGTTGCAATAAGCAATATAGATTTACCAGGACTCATACATAAGAAATCTCACTTTACATCTTTCCTTCTCAAATTTAAACTTGCCCTGGTGTAAAAGCCAGTTGTTAGAAGTCATTTCTATCTATTGTACGTAAACTTGCAACTTCTTAGCAAGTCAAGTTCATTGTCTAGGAATTGCATAATCCTAACAAGTTCTTTTCTCAGGGCAAATGACCTTGCCCACACAGATACAGTAATTAATTAACCCTTTTTGGGTTTTAGCATTAAAACAGTAATCCCAAACAACTTAGTTAAAAATCTCACAAATTTCATAAATGGTAACACAACAATTTTAACTAAAAATCCCCTTTGAATAAAAATTTGGAAATCATATGATTTCTTAAATCCCCAACAGCCACATTCATTCCTTTTTATCTTTTCTCTGAAGACACAATTAATTTAACATTCCAGATTATAAAAGAAATTGCCCTTCCAGCAACATAACAAATACAATTGAAAACAGACTCAATAAAAAAATCTTTCTTTCTTTCTAGACCCCTTCACCAGATTCAACAGTCTCCTGGGGCCACATAGTTAATAAATTTCTTAATGCCAAATAACAATATGTGCTCTTAAAATTATACAAATACACATTTCTAAGTTCAATACCCTTGGCCCTTTATAAAGGGATATTATCCACATTCATGTCCACATTTTCTTGCAAAAGTTTTACGAACAGTTTGGAATCACCTATTGTAATCAGGACAGTTTAAAATGTGCTGGGCCAGTATTCTAACTACTTTTATAATTTCCCTCTAGGTAGGCACCTCTGGAGCTTAATAATTAATTTAACAGTAATAATCATAACTCACAATAACCAATATGGTGGGGAACTTAAGACCCCCCCCTCCCAAATTACACTCACCAGGACTACTATACAGCTTTCTTTTTGCATTTCTGTTTGTTTGTTTTTGTTTTTGATTTTTTTGGCTAGGCAATGGGTTAAGTGACCTGCCCAGGGTCACTCAGCTAGTAAGTGTTATGTGTCTGAGGCCGGATTTGAACTCAGGTCCTCCTGAATCCAGGGCTGGTGCTGTACTCACTGTGCCACCTAGCTGCCCCATCTTTTTGCATTTCTGAAGGGAGATAATTGAATAGGACTCTCCCTCCCTCTCTCTCTTCCCAAACTGCCTTTACAACTTTAATATGCACTCTAAACAATTCACTCGTTTTACACTATTTTTCCGCTGTTCTTTAGTTTCTTTCAATTTGCTTTAGTGCCAAACAGTTTAATAAGTTCTGAAATTAAAAACATCACATTTTTACCAATTTGAATGAGTGGGAAAACATCGTGGTCTCAGCAACAGTCAAACCCAGTCATCTCCAACAAGCCGCAGCCCTCAGCGCAGTCCCCGGTTGCCCATAAATTACATTTTGTTTAGGTTCTGGTACGCAAAATTTTTCTCTTTTTGATCTAAGGGGAAAAGGTTCCCTTTTTCTCTCTGTCTCCACACTCAAATGTGGCCAGAATTAGAATGCACAGAGAGAGAGAGAGAGAAAGAGAGAGAGATTATTTTTTTCTAAAAGTTTCAAAACCTTCTTACTTTCAAAACCTCTATTCACACCATGCAAATAAATTATACCTTAAGCTTTCAAAACATGCTCCTCTCTCCTACGTGCTTAAACTTTCTTGCCTTTCTTTCTAATGGACTTTGATTAAAGTCCCTTTAAAACTGCACATATCTTATTTCTTTCTAATTTTGACCTTACATTTCGAAAATCCTTCTCAACTTGCTTTTTACCAAGCATAAAACCTAAATAACAAAGTATTTTACTGTCTTTCTCTCTTCCATCCACCCGCTCCTCTGAGGCTGCTGTTACCAGGGACAAAGAAGGGGAGAGAAAGAAAGTGACCTTTCCAGAGTCCAGCTGCAGCCTTTTGATGTCTGGCTGCAAAAGATACATACTGACACTCACTCATACCATGCACAGACACAAACACACACAAAAAATAGACATACAGTAATCCTCTGCTCTGTAGAATCCTCAAATCATCAAATCATATTTGATTATTTTGTTCCTCACCTTTTCTCTATATTTTGGTAGTTTGTTCGAGTTCTGCAATCGATTGCCTAAAGGACTGTCTATAGGTACCTCACATTTGCGCTGTGCAGATTTAGATTGTTCCTTTCCCATTCCTAGGCCCTCACCTAGGGAATTTACGGGAGTTGTCACCGAACTCCCTGAGTCTGAAGACTCAGCCGAATCACTGAGGAGGGGTCATCCACTCTTCGCCAGTCACCCATGAAGCTTTCTCAGCAGGGTCCTTTCAATGAGGTATCTATTCTGCAATTTGATTAGGCCCAGATGCTGCCTAAACTAGAGTCCACCCTAAAGGACCCTCACCTTATGCCAGTGACCTCCAGACCCCTGAGTGCTTACCTCTGGGTTGCACACATACAGCTTACGTGACTGCTCTCACTCACCGGCCGGCTGGTATTTCTTAATTTTGTTTTTAATCATCGGAGCCCTAACAAACCTTCTGTTTCTCCGAGTCCCTCTTCAGGTTTATTTCAGTGACTGGGCGGTAACTCCCTTCCGGGGCTCAAGACCTCTGAGAAATCCCGGATGCACGCTTGGTCTTGACCTTGGCAGGGAAGCCCCCTCCCTAATCAAAGAAAATTCCAGACGATTCCCCAACTGAGTGGGATTGAGACCACCTACCCAAATAAAAAATCAGAGGTTTCTCTCAGTAGGAACATAAGTTTTATTCTAGCAAGTCTTGTGTGAGAATTGGGCATGACCTACCCAGGGCGGACTGGAGTAGGGAGGCAGGATACAAGTAGCAAGCAAGCAGTTATATACCCTTAGACAAACAACTTTAAGAAACCCCTCCCCCACTTGTTTACCTCAATCTCTTTATCCTCATTGGTTGAGGTGAGAGACCTTACATTCTGTTTAGAAACTAAGAGATACTTTTTACCCAAAACAAGCTTGGCAGCTAGAAGATTGCCTTATTTGGCAAAGATAAGGCTGGGGTGGTGGTTACAAAACAAGGGAGGGGGTGGGCAACAGATGCATGACTGGATCACATGATTTACAGGAAAACGAAACTTAGGCCGAGCCTTAACTAAATTTTGGGGCATAGCTTCCATTTCATATGAGAAACTTTCACTTGTCCCACACAGTAATGAGGAGGGAAAGTTTAAAAGGAAAGTGATGAGATAGGTGGTCCAGAAAGATAAAAACTAGTTTGTCTGCAGTTTTATAAAGTAGGATTCAGTGAATAATTTAGTAATTATTCCTGATTTTTAAAATAATTTCAGTCTTGTAAAGTTTCAGTCATAAAAAGGAGCCAAGATAATATGTGAATAAACTTCTTTCCTGTTGTGTTATCTTTTTGTTATCCTGCTTTATTTGAGTAGTTTATTTGGTGAGGAGTTAACTGCCATAGACAATTTTTAGTATAAATCAATTTTATCTACAGGTATTTGAATGACTATTTAGAATAGTTTTTAGGCAGTATAAAAGAAACAAGAGAGCAGTGAGATGTAATAGTAACACGTGTAGCATCCTAAGATGTACAGTGGGCTTTTCTCACAACGAATCTGTGAAATAAGTGGTACAGAATTCTATCCCCATTTTTAAAAAAATTTTTTAAATTTATTTTGATTTATCAACAATCACCTCCATATGCTTTTGAGTTTAAAATTTTTCTCCCCCTTCCTCCCCACCCCCTCCCTAAGATAGCACACAATCTGATACAGGTTATACATTTACATTCCTATTAAACATATTTTCACATTAGTGAAGTTGTAAGTAAATATTAAAACCAATAGGAGGAACCATCAGAAAGAGGAAACAAAACTCAACAGAAGAGAAAAACAAAGATAGTGATTGAACTTTCACTGTTATGATTACTGTCTGTGTCTTTTTCTACATACTTTTCCCTTTATTCTTTTCTTTCTCCTTTTTCCTTTTCCCTCCTCACTGGTGTTTTGCTCTTGACCACCTCCTCCTTCAGTCTGTCCTCCCTTCTGTTATCCCTTTCCCTTTTCTTCCCCTTTGCCCTTACTACTTCTTTCCTCCTTTCTATCTCCTCTCCCTTTTCCTTCCCCCTTCCATTGCCCATAGAGCAAGTTGGATTTCTATACCCAACTGACTATGTTATTCCCTTCTTGAGCTAAATATGATGAGAGTAAGGTTCAAACAATGCTCACCCCCTCCCTTCTTTCCTTTTGCTGCAATAGGATTTTTTGTCTTTTCCTGTAATGTAATTTACCCTTGTCTGCCTCCTCCTTTCTCAGTACTTTTTCTAAGATCAGACTAATCTACTTACTTGGATCCATTTAACCCACTTGATTAGATTTTTTTTTTATCATTACATCAAAGTCAACTAATATCCACCCCCTTTATGTATACTCCTTTAACATGGTGTAATAACAATACATTTCTCAAGAGTTGCAAGTGTCATCTTCCCTTGTAGGTCTGTAAACAGTCCACCCTTATTAACAACATTTTGTATCTTTCTGTACCTTTTTATGTCTTTCTTGAATCTTGTACTTGAAGATTGAATTTTTTTGTTGAGCTCTGGTTTTTTTATCAAGAAGTTTTGGAAGTCCCCTATTTAGTTGAATATCCATCTCCTCCCTTGAAAAATCATGCTCATTTTTGCAGGGTAGTTGATCCTTGGCTGCAATCCAAGCTCCTTTGCCTTATGGAATATCATGTTCCACACCCTGCAGTCTTTTAATGTAGAAGCTGCAAGGTCCTGTGTAATCCTGACTGTGGTTCCATGATATTTAAATTGTTTCTTTCTGGCTGCTTGCAGCACCTTCTCTTTCATCTGGTAATTTTGGAATTTTGCTATTATATTCCTTGGCGTTGTCAATTTGGGATCTCTTTCAGGTGGTGAGCAGTATATTCTTTCTATGGTTACCTTACCCTCTGGTTCTAGGACTTCCGGGCAGTTTTCCTTTATGATTTCCTGAAAGATACTGTCCAGGCTTTTTTTTCATCATGATTTTCAGGTAGTCCAATGATTTTTAAATTATCTCTCCTGTATTGAGTTTCCAGATCAATTGTTTTACAAATGAGGTATTTTATTTTATGTTTTCATCTATTTTTTTCATTTTTTTGTTTCTCTTTGACTGATTCTTGCTCTCTCATAGAGTCATTAGTTTCCATTTGTCCAATTCTAGTTTTTAACAGATTGTTTTCTTCTGTTAGTTTTTGTACTTCCTTCTTCAATTGGCCAATTGTATTTTTAAGGGATTTGTTTTCTTCAGTGTACTTTTTTTTCCAATTGGCCAATTGTATTTTTTAAGGACTCTTCTACCTCTCTTATTAGACTTTTAAAATCCTTCTTGAGCTCTTCTAAGAAGGCTTTTTGGGCTTCAGACCAGTTCATATTCCCTTTTGATGTTGCAGATGTGGGTTTGTTGACAATGTTGTCCTTTTCAGAATTTCTGTCTTGATCTTCACTCTTCTCATAATATGAATCTATGGTACGTTTCTTTTTACTCATGGTTTCTTTATTCCCTGGCCTTTAAAGAGATTGAGCTCTCCTGCTGGGGAACAGAGGGCACTGACCCAAGCTTCTTGTGTTGGGAGCCTAGGTCTTGGTCACTGGCTTTGTGTGCTAGGGCCTCTTATGTTGGCAATTGGAGGCTGTAGGGTTCTGGCCACTTTCATCTTGTTGGGCAGGAATCAGCAAGGCTGGAACTTTCAGACAATTCTAGGTTGCCTGCTTTTCCTTTCCTTTAGCTTTCTTCAGCTCCTTTTAGATGGGTGCTGCAGGGTGTTTATCTGCCTGGGGCCCCCTGCAGTGTTGTCTCCCTTGTTTCTGCTAGTGCACTGGGAGATTCCTTTGCAGTAGAGTGCTGAGGCACCTGGTGGTTTTCTGAGCTGGTTTCCACCGGTTCCCTTGCCCTCACTGAGGCACTCAGATGTCCAAGTGTTGGTGTTTGCCTGCTCTACCACCTGGGCTTCAGGTTCTCTTCCTGGCTGACAGTTGGAGGTTCTGAGAGCTTACCTGGTGTTGGTCTGGAATCAGCAAGGCTCGGTCTTTAGGTTGCTTTCTTCAGCTCTTTTCAGATGAATGCTGCAAGGTACTTATCTGCCTGGGGCCTTTTTTAGTGCTACTTCCCTTATTTTTGCTGAGGCAGTAGGAGACCTGTTTGCTGGGCTGCTGCACTGCTGCTCCCTGTCTTTCTTCTAGTTCAGCTGTTCCAGGGTTTTGTGTTTTTTTCTGGGGTGATATTTTCTGGGTTTTCAGAGGTTGATAGGGGAGGGTGAAAGCGACTACCTTTTTACTCCACCATCTTGGCTCCCAGAAGTGGAAGTCCCTATCCCCATTTTAAAAGAGGAAAACTGAAGCTCTGAGAGGTTAAGTGACTTAATTTGGACAAGTTTGGACTCAGAAGCCAAGTGCAAATACACTGTTTGGTTAGAAGAAAGACTAGACAGACAAGGTAGCAGATAAAGATGGAAGTGGTAAAGAACAGAGCCATTATAGGTGTTTCCCAAAGTCTCTAGTCTGGGAGGGTGGGATAATGTTTGCATTGATAGAAGCTGCAAAGGGGAATTTTGGAAGGGAAAAGATGATCAAGCAGATTTTGTGCATTTTGGATTTGAGATAATAGTAAGACATAAAGGAAGAGGTCCTTATGGCAGTTGCAGATTTGGGAACTTGAACACAGGTGAGAGATCAGTAATGAAGATCTTTGAAGGGTTTGGCAGTCATCTACATAGAAGGGATAGTTAAAGATTTGAGAGTACATGAATGCTTTGGGGAAAGAGAGTAAGGTGCCAAGAGACTAGCAATGCCCAGAACTAGGGGTGGGGGAGCAAAGAGTAGTGGAAGAGAAAGATTCCAACAAAGGAGATAGAGGAGTCCTTTGAAAGGCAGGCTATGACCCAGGACAATTTAGTGTAATAGAAATCAAGAGATAAGAGAATTTCAAGAAGGGAATAGAAAGAGGGGAGGGAATAAGCACAAGAACCCTTAAAGGTAAGTGCTGTTATCATCCTTATTTTATAGTGGAGGAAACTGAGGCAAAAAGAGATTAGATGAGTTGCCCAGAGTCTTACCAAAAGTATGTGAGTCTGGATTTGAATTTCATCTTGCTGTTTCCAAGTCTAGCTCTCTACCTATTGGACCAGCTAGATACCTCTAACTTCCTGTGGTGTCAAATGCTCCAGAAAGATTGTAGAGGATAAATATTGAAAAAAGACCATTGCAACTGACTAAAAGGAAGTATTGACTATTCTAGATATGGTAGACAGGTAATACCAAATTCTTACTATTGCTTCAACCCATAAGCAGAGTGGTGCGTATACAAAGCAGATTACAGGGAATGAGAGGAGAATATAAGACTGTGTAGGTTACGTGTTTCAGAAATTTGGCATTGAAAGAGAAGAGGGAAATCAGATGGTAGCAATCAGGACAGCAGGGTCAAGAGAAAAACTTGGGATTTATATTTTAAGATGGGGAGACCTGTGAACATTTCAAGGTAGAAAGGAAGGGGCCTCTGATGAAGAATTGGTAAAATCGATAGGGAGGGAAAGATTGGTTGTTGAGGGTGAAGTTCAGGGGAGGGAGAGGGGCAAAGAATGGGTATAGCAGTTGAATTTAGAAAAGAAGATATATCTCTTCAGACTGATGGGAAAGGTGAAGGGTTAAATATAGGATAGATTGTATTGGGGGTGAAGGTGAAGCTATATTAGGTAGTTTATACTTAGAAAAACTTGAACACAGGTATAGGGGTAAAAATTAGAGTTGTGTGTAGGGTTGAGTATGTTCATTGAAGCCAGATTATGGAAAAACTTGAGAGCCACAGATTTTTGGCAACTGAAGAAGGGAGTCATGTGCTGAA